TATTACTACTATTTCTACTTCCTGTTGCCTTCTTCATCATCGTCTTTTTCACCAGTAGAAACAGCTGGTTGTTGATCACGTGACTCCTGTGATGTGAAAAAACTGTTTCCATTGCAGTTTTGTGAAAAACACCAATTTCAATACGGCCGAAAAACCACCTCATCCTAGTGCAAAAACATTTTGTCAAAAAACGTAATTTTTTCGAAACTGACGTGTTTCCATTGAGCAAATTTATTTTCGAAATTCTAATTTGCGCATTTTCATGGTGAATGGAAACACAGCTTGTGACATGCATATTCTTCAAATACAAAGCATCAAAGAAAACATCTTTATATTTAAGAAAGTTGGAATAATACACACGATTTAACCCATTTTGTCACATAACTGGCATATTTTCTTTTGAACTTGGCCTAGCCAAAGTGAAACAGGAAGTGACATCAAAGGAGAACTCTAACAAATAAAACTCTGCTCTTTGTTTATTAAACAATATTTGAACTCTTCTTCATCTCTCTGATAGACTCAAAATAATCTACAGAAACATCAGATTCTTCTCTACAGTCTGTTAGCTGTTAGCAACGCTCTGTTWACATGCTGACATTCCCCTGTGACATCACTTCCTGTTACTTCACATGCAAATATCTCAACAACTGTTCATCTCAGCGACATGAAATTTCTTTTGCAGTATTTTATCAATGTCCTCTTTCTAAAAATGCATTCAAATATGTTACTAAAATTTGACATCACAGGCACTTTAAAGGTCCAGCACGGTGGTGGAGGGCTGATGGTTTGGGCTCACTGAGTGGATCACTCCTCTGTAGAACAAAGGGTTCTAGATGTGAGTCCATCTGTCTGACAAACTGGGTCCAACAGAACCACGATGAGAAGCAACAACCCAGAGTAGCAGAAACTTTAACGACTCAAACGTTTTGGGACATTCAGACGTCGTCACATCGGTTATTTTTTACAATCTCCTCGTTAAGCTGATGTCAAACAAAAAGAAGACATTAATCATGAATAAATCAGCGTTTGTTGATCATTATGTCAGATGTTGCAGCACGCAGATCATAAATCTGTCCGGTTCTGACGTGTTTCTGGTTAACCAGTTCCCACACGAACAACCGGAGCAAACAGAGATAAATCTCCTCAGATCAGCCGTGTCAGGAGGAAGCCACGGCGGAGCTGCAGAACCCGCCCGGCTCCAGGACCGGCAGCAGGAAACACGCTCAGCTCATTAAACTGGAGTCAGCTTCAGCTTCAGGTTCTGACTGAGAGCAGAGAGCAGTAAACAACATTTGGTTTTTGGCAGGTGTTAATTTTCACCCAAGAGGAGCAACCTGGAGAGATGACACATAGCATGTAAAACAGACCAATTATGTGCTGCTTCTAAATATTGCTAAGTGGTTCTAAGTCCCAGAAGTGCTGCGCCGCCGTCTTTAGAGTGACTGAACGGCAGCCAGGAGCTCATGTTAAACTTTAGTTAATGAAGCCACAGCTGGGAGAGTTTCCCTCCAAACCAAGCCGAGGTTCGGCTGACAGGATCAGAAATCTGCAGAGGAAAATGATGACGATGACTGAAAAACCTGCAACAAATCTGCACCAAAACGTAAAAACAGAAAGATGTCAGGGCCACAAAACAAATGAATAAATATGTGCAAATAAAACTAATTACAAGTCAAAACAAAGTTTTAACATTTTATCATTACAAGTTCATTCGTTTAAAAACACATTTCAAAATAAAAGCCTAGCTTTTCTTGCCTCTCTGATGCTAACGCCAGCTTATTCATGCCAGTTGCTAGCTTTTACAATGCTAATTCCAGCTTATCCATGCTAGTAGCTAGCCTCTCTGATGCTAACGCCAGCTTATTCATGCTAGTTTCTAGCTTTTACAATGCTAACTCCAGCCTATCCATGCTAGTTGCTAGCCTTTACAATGCCAGCTTATCCATGCTAGTAGCTAGCCTATCCAATGCTAATGCAAGCTTATCCATGCTAGTAGCTAGCCTCTCTGATGCTAACGCCAGCTTTTCTTCCAAAATAAAAGTTCTGGATTCCTGACCCGTCTGTTTCCACCGTGGGATGGTCCGACCCAGCTGAACCCAGAGAAGAGGCCTCTGAACCACCTTGTTAGAGGCTCCAATGGGTTTTTAATGGCTGTCAGAGCTGGAAGGAGTCATCATTTGAGTCAATGAAATAAAAGTCCTGAAACATTTCAATAAACATAACGAGGCTGAGTCGGGCGTTTCGTCTTCTGTCGGAACGAAATGAAACAAAGATGCAACAATTAGGTTGGAAATAAGTTTGAAGTGAGATGGAACCAACGTTCCTACAAAATAAGAGTTGTAAAAGCAGAAAATCTCTGTATAATTCTGTAATAAAGGCTTCAGCAGAGACACTTCAGTGCTTTAAATGTGGTGAAAATGTGTGTTTAACAGTCATCGGTGTTGGAGCAGGACTCCTGCTTGACTCTTTTGTTTTGGTGCTTGGACCCGGGCCTCCTGAACGCCTTCCAAAGCCAGACGAGAGGAGCGAAAGAGCGTGACACGGAGAGGAGGAAGCGCTGCGAGAGGGAGAGAGAAAAGCAAAATGAGCGTTTAGCCGCTGGTGTGAATTGCCTTTCACACCAGACAGATTTCCTGATCCCATAATGGCTCGAGCTCGCGTTTCCTGGTGCAAATTCTCGGTGGCGCTTGTGTCGGCTGCACATGCTCCGGCGGCCTAATGAGGCAGCATTAGCCAGGGGAGACGCGGTAATTAGAGCCAACGTCAGCGCCGAGGACAGATGGCACGCTAAGACAAGCCTCCCGACGTGTGTGTGTCTGTGTGTGTGTCTGTGTGTGTGTCTGTGTGTGTGTCGGTCCTGACAGATGAGAGGGGAGGCGAAATGTGTCAACGACAGAAAAGAAGGATCGAGACTTAAGAATGTGTCAAAAAAGGAAACCGAAGCTGCGCCTCAGAGGGGAGCAGGATGTTTACAGACAGACATCCAGAAAACACCAGGGAGGAACAAGGTTCTGATCCGGCCCGGTACAGGAACCCGTTGTGAACACTCAGAGGTGTGCACACTGAGGGTCGCAGGTGTTTGGAGAAAAGGTGTCGAGTCTTCAGCAGGTTCTGATGGAACAGAAGGGACCTCTGCAGAACATGAAGGTCCAGAACAACAAGTCTCCCTGCTGGCAGCACCGGGCCTACATCTGGTTCTGGACCATCTGTGACACAGATCCTGACCTGGACCAGGATCTGGTGTCAAACTGAGTCCGACCTGGTTTCACCAGCAGATTGCTCTTCAAAAAACCAAGCCGAAGGTCTTTTCTGTCGGTCCACCTGATCCGGATCCTCCAGGCCTACAGTTCTGAACAGGTCCTCCTTCAGACCTCAGGGGGGAAAAAGAAACGTCCACAGAGTTTAAAGACAAGCTGACCTGGAAGAACAGGATGAAGGACAGCTGAGGAGGACACCCTGGAACCGTTGGATCCAGTGGTCTTCTTGAAGGGACGTCGTGTTCTGGACAGAACTGGAGAGCTCAGAACTGCAGCTTCGTTGGTAAATCTAAAGGTTCTGTCTGATTTGTTTCTTCAGGACACATTTAAAGGAGGCACCAGATTCAGGAAATAAAACCCAGATCAGGGCTGGGTCCTTCGAAGGAYCCGGRCCCGGCCTACCCAGTYTAGGTGGGCCARGTCCTTGGTCGACTGCGAAGCCCGGGAAAAAGTGGCAGTAAATTTGGACGTAGCTTTATCCTCGCCCTCACCCGCCGTACGTCCTGTTGGCTAGCAGCATGACGCTAACCAAGCAGATGTAGATCAAATGACCAAAATATTAATATATTAGTATAATTAATATCATAAAACAACTAAATTATCTGAAAGATAAAATTTAAAGAACTAAAGCTGTAGGTGAATGTTTATTTCTCTAAACCAGCTGTTTGACTTCTGAAAATAACAACAAATGATAAAAGTCTTAACAACACGTTTTATTTTTATACCTCCAGATTTTTATTTAAACTCTACTCCTTTCTCTACCATCGACCTGCAATGCATCATGGGATATGGTCCATCTGACCCGTCCGTCAAATCAGGGACAAAGGACACATTTGTCGGGCGCCCGGGCGACTCTTTGAGCTTGGACAGCCTCCGAGGCGGCGCTGGAGGACCTGGACCCTGGATTTAGACCTGGACTCTGAATTTACACCCAGACCTTGATTTTAGACCCGGCTCCTTATTTTAGACCCAGGCCCTGGATTAAGACCCAGGCCCTGGATTCAGACCGAGGCCCTGGATTCAGACCCAGGCCCTGGATTTAGACCTAGCCCCTGGATTCAGACCCAGGCCCTGGATTCAGACCGAGGCCCTGGATTCAGACCGAGGCCCTGGATTTAGACCCAGCCCCTGGATTCAGACCCAGGCCCTGGATTTAGACCCAGGCCCTGGATTCAGACCCAGCCCCTGGATTCAGACCGAGGCCCTGGATTCAGACCCAGGCCCTGGATTTAGACCTAGCCCCTGGATTCAGACCCAGGCCCTGGATTTAGACCCAGCCCCTGGATTCAGACCGAGGCCCTGGATTCAGACCCTGGCCCTGGATTCAGACCCAGGCCCTGGATTCAGACCCAGGCCCTGGATTCAGACCCAGGCCCTGGATTTAGAAACAGGCCCTGGATTCAGACCCAGGCCCTGGATTCAGACCCTGGCCCTGGATTCAGACCCAGGCCCTGGATTCAGACCCAGGCCCT